CTTCTGATTGTAGCATTTGGCAGAACTGAAAGGAAAGGAAGTTGTGCTACATGTTGAAGGGATTGTGGGCAACAGAAAGAAGACACCAGGAGAAGATAAAACATGGTCACATGAAGTCTTCAAACTCTTGTGCATATCCTCCATCATAACCACCATAGTCTGCCAGATCGTCTTTCATGGTAGCCTTTAATCCCATTCCAGGAACCACAACTTTTCTTCTTCTGTTTTGCTTTGCTTTGCTTTTCTTGCTTCTGTTTTTCACTGCAAAGCACAGTCAATGAATTGGTAATATTTTTTTTAATTCATCAATTTCCAATGAAATACACACATCTCGAACCAAAGCTTCCAAAAAGCTGGCATAATATAGTGACTTTTCATATTGTGTCATTTTATCCTTTAGTAACATCCCAAACTCTGTGAAGTCATCTCTTGAAGATGGGTTCATAGCATCTGTTCCATAAACTGTATTATTAATACCAAAAGTTTCTTTTGTTAATTCAAGGTCTGCCTCTTCCTGTAATTTCTTTAGTTGCAGTTTGTCTGCTAGTTGTTCTTCTGGTGTTGGCACTTTAGGTTCTTCAGGTTCGTCTCACCTCTTTTTAATTTCTTCTTGCCTTCTCTATTGTTGCCGTTCTTTTTCTTTGGTCTTCTCTGCTATTATTTTCTTTTCTGAAACTTTTACTTCTGGCTTTTCTTCAGTTTCTTCTTTCTTTTCTTCATCATCATCATCCCAGTTATCTTTGACGTCTTCATCCTGGTCCTTGCCTTCCCAGCGGTCCCTGCCGCTGGTGCCGCCGCCCCCCACCTTCCACACCGGGTCCTCCATGGAGAAATTGTTCAAGTCCCAGGAATCGGAGTCCCTTCGCAGTTGCCGCCGCCATCTCCGGCTGGGTGTGAGCGTGTGCGAGGGGGATGAAAGCGAGGAGTTAGCAGGATGGAGGTGAATCACTGCATTTGTGCCCATACTGCTGCTATTTGATAATGCCTCAGGACATCTTCCTCAATTACTAAATCAAGATGTGGAGGTGATGTTTCTACCACCCAATACGATAGCTGTGATTCAGCGCATGGATCAAGGCACATACAATAGATAGGCACCTTTAATACACTGTGGGTTAATGCTCCAGCCTTTTGAACTGCAAGGTCTGTGGTTCAAGCTCACCAACTGCTCCTTGGAAACCCTATACATGGTTACTATGTGTCAGAACTGACTTGATGGCACTTAACAACTTAACAATAACCTGTGAACTATGTTATCTCAGGCAATAGTTGAAGCAGATAGAGGTATAGTAACATTATGTGATTTCGGAAACAATTATAATATTCTTCAGTGTATCTGAAACGTTTTGTCCTCCTGGGAAATGTATGGGAAAATGTATGCTGGGGATATAGGGAAAAAAGTTATGTGAACATACTCCAGACATCTGATTGGTATAATATGATGTAAGAGATGGGTGGAGAAATTGTCCATATGGAAAGAATGCTGAATTTAAGAACTCGATGTTGTTAATGTGGATCACAAATAAGACAAGTTGGAAAGATCAGGACTTAGTGGATTTTGAAGAGCAGAAGAAAAATAATGAGGAAGATGAAGAGGAGTTGTCAACATTTTTATAGTAAAAGAATTAGCTTTCCTTCCCCCCCCACCCCCACCCCAAATCAGGGACTTCAGTTGCTTGGAAAAAAAAATGGACCTAAATGCTGATCACCTAACCTAAATGCAGGTTTGGGAAGCAGTGAACTATTACCGTGAAATATATGAAGCAAAAAAGTTAAGAAATATAGAGAGACCATAAAGACAAGTCTCTCTAATAGTCTGACTGAAAACACTGTCCTCATTTCTAGGGACAGTCCAGATGATCCAGAACTTTTCACAAGTGCAATTCTGACTGCACCTGACAAAAGCCAATGTCATCCTATTCTTCATAACCAGAGTAAATTTTTTTGATTTGTGTATGTTCTTAAGTATGTGTGTATACATTAAAATATATCCGTATGCTTATATGTAATGTTTCTAAACACAAATTAAGGTTGGATTTATAAAGATATTAATAATTAAAAGAAATAGTAATGAACACAACAACAACAAAAACAAGGTATTTGACTTACGTCAGAAGTGACTTACATCACTTATTGGAACTGAACCCGGTGTTAAATTAAGGTCTACATGTAATCACACAGAAAAATTAGCTTATACATTTACAGTACTTCAAACACTAAGGGTAGTAATAATTGGGAGATGAAAGTGAGCACCCCCATCATGGGATAAAACTGTTTCTGGCCCAAATTGATGGGAATTGCAAAGAGCTGCAGAATCCCTCTTACCAGCCCTCTCAGCTTCCTCCTGTTGCTTTTTCCGCTGCAGTTCTTGCAGTTTCCTCCGGAACTCTTCCTGCTGCTGCTGGGCTCTCTCCTGCGCTGCTTGCAACTGAAGCCGCTGCTTTCTCTCCGCCTCCTCCTGCAGTTGCTGTTCTTCTTGCAGTCTCCGTTTCCTCAAGCTGAGAAAACACAAGATGGCCAGGGAAATGGTATAAACACTGGGGGAACATTGGAAAACAAGTCAAAGGCAGTGCCCCTGGTGTAGGCTTTGCAGTTTACAGGCCAGACTGAGTCTGCAGACCAGATGCTGCATCCTATTCAGAAGAGACTCAGCTTACTAAGGAAAGCCAGGATTGCAAAGCAAAGGCATAAACACAACAGCCTTGGAATTAGAAGTCTGAAATTCCAATACATAGCTCCGTGCTCTGGGGTAAACAAAAAAACCCCAAACCTGTTGCTTTCAAGTTCATTCCAACTCATGGCATCCCTATGGAACAGAATAGAACCGCTCCATCTGGTTTCCAAGGTCATAAATTGTTTTGGGAGTAGACGGCCACATCTGGTGGGTTTGAACCCTGACCTTTCAGTTTGCAGCCAGCGCTTAACCTACTATGTCACCAGGGTTGTTATTAGGTGCCTTCAAGTTGGTTCCAAATCATGGCTACCCGATGCACAACAGAACTCACCACCAGGGTAGGGATCATAAATTCTTAGAACTTCATTTTCCATTTTATAGATTTTGAAACTCCTGTTCCATAATGTTGTGAAGATTAAGTTAAATGAGTTAAGAACTGTGAATGGGACTAGCATGATACAATTTGGCAAGGGTTCAGCAAATGTTTGGCAACCTTGAATTTTGACCCCTCCTGGGAAGATCTCATGAATACTAGTTTTGAGTAATCTACTGCCTCTTACCTCGTCCAAGTTGTTCCTAGGTTAACCAGGGATAGAGGACAAAGAGACATTCTCATGCCATTTTATGTTAGAGTGTAAACCAAAGTTTGCCTTGTAGAGGTCAACATCCATGGCATCTAGCCGCTGACCTACCGGATCTCCTCCGCACGTCTCTGCTGCTCCAGCTCCAGCTCCTCCTTCATCATCTCTGCCCGCTCCAATTGCTCCTGCTGGAGTCGCCTCTGCTCCTCCTGCTCCCTCCTTTTCCTCTCGACCTCCAACCTTCTCATCTCCGCCTTCTCTGTTCGCAGCTTGTCCCGGAAAGCTTTCTCCTGCTCCCTCTTGGCAAGAAGGTCCTAAAAAACCAGAGTTTTCTTAGTGCAAGGACAGTGTTGTGACCACCATGGCCTTCTCTCAGCAGTGAGCCCTCCTCTCCCCCTAACAGTATTGTCTCTAATCAGAGATGGAATTGTAAAGTGGAGTCGGCACTCTGACCACAGCTGCATAAACTCTGGTGGGACCAGATTGGGTGTCAGGATCCCATTTGACCAGGTTTCTTATTAGCTTTGGTATTTGATAATCACAACTTAATTTCTCAGATACTGTCTTTCTCATGAAGCTGTTACTAAGATTAGCTGAAATAGTGAAATACCACCATAATGCTTGGTAGGTAGTATATTCTGGAGCTCTCGGCCCTGGCTGCACTAGGGTAGAACACAGTAGGACGGCTCCATAATGTTTCTGAGACTGTAAATCATTGTAGGAGTAGACAGTCTTGTCTTTTTCCCTCAGAGTGGCTGGTGGGTTTGAACTACTGCCCTTGTGGTTAGCAGCCCAAGAGCTCATCCCATGGCACCACCAGTGTTCTTTTAAAATAGACAAGAGCTCTGAGTTTGGAGTTAAAGGAGTTGAGTTTAAGTTTTTGATAAGTCAATGGTTGTGCAATTCCTGGTAACTCCATAATATTTCTAAAGACAAATTAAGATTGGATTTATAAAGATATTGAGAATTAAAGGCAATAATAATCAAAACGAAAACAAGGTATTTGACTTACGTCAGAACTGACATATTTTCTTTGAGGGTCAGTTTCCAGGTCTGTAAAATGGGACTAATCAGACCAGGTTCACAAGTGTAGATGTAAAAATTAATTGAGCTCCATCAGGGTTGCAACATATACACATGCAATTTATGTAAATTTAATTATACTGGTTTAATTATGGGGACATCTCGATAGAGAGCTATATCTTTCTATCTCATTATCTATAGCTCCAACCATTGCCACTGAGTTGATTCTGATTCTTAGTGACCCTGTATAGTGTTTCTGAGGCAGTAAATCTTTATGGGAGCAGACAGACAGACAAGCATACATATAAGAGACCACTAAATGTAGTTCAACTTCTTGTCAGTGGAAGATATAGTGTTCTATTCCAAAAGCAGAGGAAATGATGTCTCTGTATGGTATACTTATATTTTTTTAACTTTTTATTGAAATGAAAGCTTATAGAGCAAGCAGATCATTAGTCTTACATTTATCAAATCATGTACTTTGCTTCATTATAATGATTGTAATCCCCTCCATGTACAGTTAACAGTATCTCTACTTCCTTTAACTCTTGCATTCTTCCTTGTGTCTCCTACTACCTTCATCTTTCCTCTGCCAACTTCTCTCTTGTATATTGCCTGCCCAATCACCCATGCTAACATGTGTCTACTCTCTGGTCTGTGAATAATTCCCTCCCCACCTCCAAGAGTCGTCTCATACAATATTTGTCCTTTTGTGATTGACTAATTTTACTCAGCATAATGTCCTCCAGGTTTATCCATGTTGTGAGGTGTTTTGTAGACTCGTCATTATTCTTCAACATTAGGTAATATTCCACTGTGTGTATGTACCAAAGTCTGTTTAACCATTCTTCTGCTGATGGACATTTAAACTGTGTCCATCTTTTTGTTATTGTGAATAGTGCTGCAGTGAATATGGGTGTGCATCTATCTAGTCATGTCTCATCTATTATTTCTTGAGGATATATATAACAAGGAGGATATATATATATATATATCAAGTAGAGGGATTGCTGAGTCATACTGTATTTCTATTTCTAAATTTTTGAGAAAGTCCCATACCATTTTCCACAGTGGTTGCAACGTTTTACAGTCCCACCAACAATGTAGAAAGGTCCCAGTTTCTCCAGACTTTCACCAGCATTTGTTGTTTTTCTGAACTTTGCTATTAATGCTATAGTAGGATGATATCTTACTGTCGTGCTGTGGTGGATTGAGGGCTCTCAATGTGAGGGCTGTGCCACCGGTATTTTAAATAACCAGCAAGGTCATCCATGGTGGACAGGATTCAGATGAGCTTCCAGACAAAGACAGACTAGGAAGAAAGAGTGATGAACTACTTCCAAATTGCTAATCACTGAAAACTCTATGAATACCAGAGAAACAATGTCAGATACAGGACCGGAAGGTGGGAAGGCACTCAGAATGCGACTGGGGAAAAAAAAATGCCTCCTCAAAGTAGAGTTGACCATGATGACGTGAATAGAGTTAAGCTCAGGGGAGAAAAGCGCACAGAACCTTCAGTTGCTGATGGGCCACAACTTAAAATGAAGAGAAACAGCTGTAAACATCCACTAATCATCGGAACATGGAATGTACAAATGTGAATCTAGGAAAACTGGAAATTGTCAAAAATGAAATGGAATGCATAAACATCGATATGTTAGGCATTAGTGAGCTGAAATGGACTGGTGTTGGCCATTTTCAATCTGACAACCACATGGTTTACTAGGCCGGAAATGACAAGTTGAAGAGGAATGGTGTTGCATTCATTGTCAAAAAGAACATATCAAAGTCAGTCATGAGGTACAACGCTGTCTGTGATAGGATGATATACATGCACCTACAGGGAAGACCAGTGAATACCACTATTATTCAAATGTATGTACCAACCACTAAAATCAGTGAGGATGAAACAGAAGAATTCTACCAACTTCTTCAATCTGAAATTGATCAAACATTCCAATCATTACTGGTGATTGAAATACAAAGGTTGGGAACAAAGAGGAAGGATCAGTAGTTGGGAAATATGGCCTTGGTGATAGAAGTGATGCTGCAGATAGCATGATAGAATTCTGCAAAACCAATGATTTGTTCATTTCAAATACCTTCTTTAGATAGCATAAGAGACGACTATATAAATGGACCTCACCAGAAAGAATACACAGAAATCAAGTTGACTACATCTATGGAAAGAGATGATGGAAAAGCTCCATATCATCAGTCAAAACAAAGCCAGGGGCAGATTGTGGAACAGACCATAAATTACTCATAGGCAAATTCAAACTTAAGCTGAAGAAAATGAAAACAAGTCCATGAGAGCCAAAATATGACCTTGAATATATCCCACCTGAATTTAGAGATCATCTGAAGAACAGATTTGAT